GATTCAATCTTACAAGGACAACTCAAGCTGCCGATTAGAAGATACGGTCCAGCGTTTAACATGTTCACAACTTCGTCGTCTGCTCATGACGCTGATGATGTTCTCTCTTTCCTCAGAAGAGATCAACCAAATCCATACTCTCGATTCAGTGCACATCGTAGGGGTAGACCACGCTTGGGTGACTGTCACAAAACAGCACATTAACCATAATTATTATTGTTCATATCACACCTCATTCAAAAATCACGCCATCAATCATTTATGGTGCTAATTTCAGTCACTTTCCGCAATTTCCGAAGCAAAACATTCTAGATAGCATCGTATGAATGGACGGAACGAAACGTCTCTCAAAACATTTTTTTCACATCAATTCGCAGAAGACTGCTTATTTGTAGATGAACTATTCTCCCGATTTTCATCGGTTACGACTGATAACAAATTTGCTAGCAGCTAGGGAATCCGAGGTCACAGCATCCTTGCACAGATGTAGAACTGTTTCAAGAATCAGAACTTGACNGCAACCCATGCTTACAAACCGTTGAGATGGAGAGCCATTTCGCTGCCTAATTGGTCAGCAGTATGAAAGGAGCTAAATTATAGCAAAGTCAGCAATAAATGGCCTTATAGAAATGTTGCTAAGTTAGAATGTCTCATTGAAAAATGCACAATGCATCTAGCAATATCATAAACTGAAGTGGACAATGATCTCAATTAATATGGCAAATGGTGTAGCCATCGATATGGTACACCAAGCTGGTGCATAGCGTTAACAGTCAAGTGAATCAAGATGTTTTTTTTTTGACACAATCGAGCGAATCAGTCAAAATGTTTATTGTCGCTTGAAACAATCGTTGAAAGAATGCGATTCTCAAAAATGAACTTAAGAAGGTTTTGAAGAGCAAACTGAACAACAACAAAAATACTCAAATATTGTATCCAAGCAAATTTGAGCAGTTCGAAAAGGCCAGTTCTATACGTGAACAGTTGCTCGGGAATGCGCACTTGATAACTGAAAACGAAAGTATTCGCATCTTCCGTTGATTTCGCTGACCATCGCTCCACTTTCCTGAAGTTTTTCTCAAGTTTATGTTCATCGGTTCATATCCCTGTTCTGAACGAGAACTGAAATAACAGTTAAGCAAATAAAATTCTGACTATTCTAGACATTCATAATGAAGTACGAAAAAAACCGTGCTATAAATGTCAAAAACACTGTTCTTCTTGTTTCGTCCTTGCGAAAGTGATCTTGCAATTGGTCATAAAAATTTTCTACGGTGAATTTTGGAATCTATTCATACGTTTCATTATAAATTCCTGTACTCCCGAATATTATTGCTGTTATTATCATTAATATAACTAATCAACATTGGTTATATTACAACCGTAATTATCACTGCAGTTGTTGTTATTATTATGTCAATTCTCATGTTGTTCCTCCAATTACACTGGATTTTCTGTTTAGCTTAAAGCTGTTCGTTGTACATAAAGCATCCTTGAAAACGTTTATCTAAGTTTTACGTGTCATTACTAACGTATTCTCTTGCAATTGTATTTCATTAACGCACAATTTACATTTGTTTCGATCAGAAAATAATACTTTTCAACTGATAAGAGAGCACTCAAAATGTTGACTCATTTGTCAACTAATTTTTTCGGCTGAGCAAAAAATACTTCATCTACATTGCAAAGAGTTTTCATTTTGAGCATCTGCGATGAATGTCGCTTAGTTTGATTTAACTGATTTGATGGAATGCGTCTAACTGAATTTCACGCAAGAAACATTCAAAACAAAGCCACGATCGTGCAAACATTGAATACCTGTTGAGAACAGTTGTGTAATTCCTAAATGAATTCCTCAGAATGATTTCGTTCGGATCATACTCGCTCACTTGCACTTTAGATTCGTTGATGAGCGCTCCATTATGAGCAAAATCCCATCCAAAGCTCGGCAGCGGCACCGCTTGATCCATTTGCAGATCACCGCTAACCGTCAGTGACCTACCGGCGGCCAACTTCTCGATATCACCGAACAGTGCTGTTTCCATCTGAAGTGGCCATAGCAAAATGTTGTCACTCACTAGCAGATGTCACTCATTTTCGAACAGCTTCATCGCATAACTCTCGAAAACCGCGTTGCTGATCAACCACAATTG